TAAGTTTTAAAATTAAAGCTTGATGAAAATTAAAATTAAACCTTCTATTTCTATTTTTATTTTATGTCTAGGGAAATAAAATGATTTATTGAAGTATATGTGGAGTAATTTTATATTCATTTGCCGCAATTTCAAGTAACTTCCATTTGGTCTCAAATAATTTCCAAAGGTGTATTGGCCCTTAGAAATCATCAAGTCTAACTTCTGGTCTGATCAATGACCAAGAACCAGACAGGGGAAGGGTTTCTGACTTGCAGTCAATGCCTTTCTCACTTAGGGCATCTCTTTCTCTTCTATAATAGGAGGGAAAGGATAAGGGGCCGGACCACGTCTTTAAGGGGCCTCTCCAACTTCGGTCATTGGTGGTTTTTATAACTGTCCTTAGCCCTGCTTCCCTTCTTCCTATCTCATCTTCTTCCACTGCTATGCTAAGTCTATAATAAAGAATGGGGGTTGGAGAGAGTATGGAACAGACACAAATCTACAAATACAGAAAATATATTGAACTTTGTATTTGCAATCACTTTTCTTACTACATATTTGGAAAAAATACCTCATACAACCAATCTGTAGCTGTACAACAGGGCTGTGACTTGTTTCTAGATTCATTATATACATGATAGTGTGGCACTTTTTTTTTTTTTAGTGTGGCACTCTTAACGCAGGTGAGCATGGTAAGCTTTATTCAGGAGTCCTGCCTTTATGATCAACTGGGGCAAAAAGATGATAGTAGCAGTTATGGTAAAAGGAAGCTTTAGCATAGTGGTAGATTGCCAAAGTTTGAACACTACCCACTAGTTGTATGACTGTGCAAATCATGTAACTTCTCTGTATCTCTGTATCTTCATCTGTAAAATGGCAACAGTAAAATACCCAAACCTGATTAGTTCTGAGGACTACAAGTAAAAGCTTAGAACAGTGCCATTAGCTGCTGCTGCAACTGTTGTTATATCATTCACTGAAGGCTTATTATAAATAAAATATTATATAGATACTTTGCATATATTATCATATTTAATCCTACAATAACTTTTTGAGCTATAGATTAAGAAAGGATTATCTATTTATTTATTTTAATCAATTTTATTTTATTATGTTGTGTTAGTCACCATACATTACATCATTAGTTTTTGATGTAGTGTTCCATGATTCATTGTTTGTGTATAACACCCAGTGCTCCATGCAGTAAGTGTCCTCCTTAATACCCATCACTGGGCTAACCCATCCCCCCATCCCCTCCCCTCTAGAACCCTCAGTTTGTTTCTCAGAGTCCATAGTCTCTCATGGTTCATCTCCCCCTCCGATTTCCCCCCCCTTCATTTAAGAAAGGATTATTTTATTATGAAAATGATTTATAAATATTCTAATTACTATTAACTAAAAAGGCAGATTACATTTACAAACCAAGGTTGAAGCCAAAAAGTAAAGTAGCAAATATTTCCTGGCACATTCAGAAAATATAATCAGCACAACACCCAGTGTTGTATTACTATGACTATTATTTATTACTTTTATCATTTAAACCCCTCCAAAAACATTTAAAGAGGAAAATAAAAGCACTGCCTGTTCACTCTACAGGAATATTGGGCCTGGTTTCCTTGGCTGGTTTCTCCTAAGTTCTCACACTGGACTAACAGGGTGCCCCCTGGATTCCTATAAAGATTCCATGTGTACTATATACAGAATTTTTCCCACCATCTGACAGCTAGGGTGGAGAATCAGAAGGGTAAGTTTTAAAATTAAAGCTTGATGAAAATTAAAATTAAACCTTCTATTTCTATTTTTATTTTATGTCTATTTTTTTTTTTTAAGCTTTTGGGAGAAAGAAACCAACAAATAATTCCTTGCTCAATATTCACCGACTGTCTGAGGTTATTCTCTTACCACTTTCTGATACTAGAATAAACATATACATTTTATTTTTCCTTTCTTTTATTTTTAAATTTTATTTTTTAAATTTTATTTAAATACAAGTTAGTTAACATAGAGTATTATTAGTTTCATTGGTAGAATTTAGTGTTTTGTCAGTTACATATAATACCCAGCGCTCATTACATCAAGTGCCTCCTTAATGCTCATCACCCAATTAGCCCATAGTTAAGAGTCTCTTATGGTTTCTCTCCCTCTATCTTATTTTTCCTTCCCTTCTCCTATGTTCATCAGTTGTTTCTTCAATTCCACACGAGTGAAATCATATGGTATTTGTCTTTCTCTGACTTGTTTCGCTTAACATAATACACTCTAGTTCCATCCATGTAGTTGCAAATGGCAAGTCAGTTAAGACTTCATTCTTTTAATCACTGCACAGAAGTCTGTTTGCATTTCTATACACCAATAATGAAGCAGCAGAAAGAGAAATCAAGGAATCGATCCCATTTATAATTGCACCAAAAAACCACAAGATACCTAGGAATAAACCTAGCCAAACAGGTAAAAGATCTGTACTCTGAAAACTATAGAACACTTAAGAAAAAAAGTGAGGAAGACACAAAGAGATGGAAAAACATACACATTTTAAAATGTGCTTACCAAGGCAGAATGGTTCTAATACATTCAGAACCGAAAATTCGCTCTGCAGGTTCATCATTCGAAGGCCAATTCTGATCACAAAGGACTTGATTTTCTCAGGCCATGGTTTAAGTAGAAGGTAGGCAAAAACATAGAGTGCATATCGAAGCTGGCACAGAAGTGGAGTGGCGATCCTGCCATTCGGTGACTCGGCCATTCGCTCAATTGTTGGAAAGAGCAGAAAGGAGCGAATTATCTATAATAAAAAACATACTTTGATGAGAAGTTTTCTTAAGGGATAACCCACTGTTTTACTGTTTCTTCCATACAGTATGGACAAATGGGGTTTCAGAATATGACTAAAGATCTGTTGTGAAAGAGAACCACCATCTGCTTGTCTTCTTACTGCACAAGCCATCTGGGGGAGAATATAAGGATGTCCCCTTGAGTTACTGGGGTTAATTTTTAGGGTGAGGAGCACGTCAGATTCCTAGATACTTTTCTGACTGGGACAGCAATTCACAATCCTTTTGAAAGGCTGCTGGAATTAGGAATTCATGTCCCATCTCAGTAGTTACACCACCTCGACTGACTAGTGATACCAGAAGAAAGTAGAGCTACATAAAGAACCCTGGTTCTAGTCAGCATTTCTTTTACTGATTATATTTGGGGATAGTTCACTTTGGAAAATGTCTTTTCCTTACTCTTACCAATAAAAGATAATCTTTAAGAGGACCAAATACACCAAATACATTTCTAACACCTAATATAACCTTACTAAAGTGCAGGCCAGAAACAAGCAAAGCTGGAAATCTCTACCTACATGGGAAAATGTTCAAGGACAAAAATATAATTTCAACTGAACTCATCAGGATATCAGGAAATATATACTCCACAAGAAAGAAGAGCATTGCTAAAACATTTTAAATTTACCATTATCTACCATATTAATATTTTAAAAATATATAAAAATAATTTCTATGAGGGGCCAGAAAAGGCAAATAGTTAAGCACAATCCCTATTAATAACAGAGTAACATAAGTGAAATAGATCACCAATGTTAACAGATTGTAGAACAGAAAATGAGAATGGACACAATGGTTTTATTTTTTAAAAAAATGTTTAAATTAAGTATAAGCTACAAACAGAAAAGCATATAAAACTTTAATGGCCAGTTTAACACATAATGGATAAAATGAACAGCTATGTGGATCCAACAACAAAACACTCCCAGCATGGCGTTTTCCAATCCCAACTCCTACCTCTGCTCACATCATAGGTAACCTCTATCCTGACTTCCTTACTTTGCTTTATACCAATACTTAACACTCCTTAATACTATAATCACTTCCTTCTTTTGCTTTACATTAATAGTTGCCATCCTGCAATTGACTCAATTGTGACTCCCCTGAAATGTGATGAAACATGATTATATGTAGAGATAAATGAGGTCACAGGGTGGGGCTCTGATAGGTAGGATTAGTGTCCTTACAAGGAGATTCACCAGAGAGCTCGCTCTCTCTCCCCAAGCACATACAAAGAGGTCTGGTGAACACACGTCTCACCAGGAACTGACCATGCTGTCATGCTGATCTTGGACTTCAAACCTCCAGAATGGCGAGAAAATAAATGTCACTGGTTTGAGCCCCCTAGTCTATGGTATTTTGCTACGGCAGTTCGAGCAGACTAACACATATTCCTTAGTACCAAAGTTAAATCTTGTCTGTTGATGAATTTTATTTAAATGCAATCAGCAGTATGTTTTTGTGTTTTACTTCCTTCACTCAACACTGTAAGATTCATCCATGTTGATATACGTAGCAACAGCTTATTATCTTGGCTCTATAGTTTTCCACTGTATGAATATACTGTTATTTATTTTACTGATAGATATTTGGGTTGTTTTCAGTCCAGAGATATTACAAACATGCTGCTATGAACATTTTTATATGTGTCTCTTGGTGCATGTATGCATGTAGTTCTGTTGATAATATCACTCAAGGTAGAAATACTATGTCATATGGTATCTCTAAGTTCAGCTTTAGTAGGTAATTCCAAATAGTTTCCCAAAGTAGTTGTACTAATGTACCCCCACACCAACAGACACAAGACTCCTATTGTTACATACCTGCACTACATTTGGTACTGACAAACTCTTTAATTTTGACTAACCTGATGAATAGTGGTATTTTACTGTGGCTTTGTGTTTCTCTGATGACCAGTAAGGTTGAACAACTTTTATGTGTTTACATTTTCTATATCCCCTGAAATGTTTATTTAAGTCTCTTGCACACTTTTCTATTAGGCTGCCTATCATTTTCTCTCCTTGATTTGTAGTCTTGTTTTTGTTTTTTTTATTCTAGATACTAGTCCTTTGTCATTTTGTAGTCTTGGCTTGCCTGTTCCTCTCTTATTTTTTTCTTAACGGACATAAATTCCTTAAGTTCGATGCAGTTGAATTTAAATCTTTTTTTTTGTACTTACTATTCTTTGTGCCTAGCTCAAAAAGTTCTTGTCCGGCCTCAAATCATGAAGATATTACTTTTTTTCATTCAAAATGCTCCCTTAGAAATTAGGTAAAGCTACCTCTTAGTGGAGTCTTTTCCTTTGATTCCAGCTATCAGTGATTTGTCATTTCCCTTATGTGTTTACATTCCTCCTTTTGGATGAACTGAATGCACTTTTCCTGGAAGGACCCGACAGTACACCTACACTGACAGTCCTTTTCCATAATAACCTGTAGGGTGGCACTGCCCAAACGTTCAAGTTGATCTGTAATTCTCACTAATATACAGTCTCTCTGTTAGTGTCTCTAATAAAGAACAGGGATTTGAGGGTGAAACTGGGGAGGACCCTTTTCTTTCTAATCATCTTTCTTGTTTTTCCTTGGTCATATCTGTCAGTTGAGTGCTCAGCCATTTCCTTTTCACTCAATAGTAGCTGAGATATTTTAGTTGTTTCCTTTTTGGTCATAATAATTTGACCTCTACTAGGTCTCCTCCTCTGTCACATCAGTAAGAATGTACTGTTCCTTGTGGTCTTGGTGGTGAATAAGACATTCTTTGGGAGCAGGAAGCCACAGCTTTTTCTGATGACTTTTTTAAATGCTGCCTTGGCAACTTTACATGTAAAATGCTCATAATGTGCTTTTGGAGTGAATGTAGGGTTTCAGCTAGAATATGTGAGTTTCTGCCACCTTAACATCTTCTTCAGTACAAAGCAGAGGAGATGGTAGATGGACTGTGTGTGCTTAATTAAGGCATTCATGGGGACTTGTGATGCAGATGACTGTGGACTCCAGAGCATCAGGTATGATCCAGAATCCTCCATTCAGAGCCAGCTGCCTACTCTGCAATGGGTTTATACAAAGATTACATATAAAGATTCACATAAAGGTTATGGAATCTCTGTGAAGTCTGACTAACCAAGAAAAGTCAGTTAAAGGAATCATCCTCCCTGGATGCCACTTTCAGTGTGAATTCCAACCCAGTGTATTCAAACACAGACAGAGAAGGAATGAGATCAGCTCTGGAATCCCAGGACTTCTCTGCTATTCGGTCTTCTTCTTCCCCTCTGGTGTAGCACTGGGATATGGCATTCCTGATTCTGCCATAACCACCACAGAGTGAGAACACAGGGTAAGCAGGGCACGCTGCACCAGCATCATAACTGCAGGCCTCTGCCATCGCAGGAGGCACCTGTAAAGAATCCAACAGCCCTGAACAGTGGTATGCTGCTACTTCACTTCTGCCTTTCTGTCCAAAGACATTCTTCAGGACCACGACTAATGGCTCAAAGTCAAATGTGACTGCTGTCACTCTTAGAGATGTGGAATATCCCCGTCAGACTGGCAAAAATTATGAAGTCTCACAATACCGAGTGTTAAAGATATGGACCAATACGAACTCTTACACAACATGACATTAATGATTACACTTTCTGCCTGTTTTTGAGACCCCACTTTAGGGGGTGTCTGGAACTCACACAGAAAGTACGATTTTATCATTTTGTCAAATGTTACCAGTTTAATTTGGGGATCTGGCACTTACTTGTTTACCAAGCAGCATGCTTTAAGAGTCCGAGACGTAGAAATGATGAATTCTCTCAGCACTGCAGTGGTGTTACAATTAACCACTGATTTTTACACCTTCAAATTCAGAAATCTTTCCTTATGTTTTGGGTAGTTCTAACATCATGAGTCCTTTTATACCTGTAAGTGCTACCAATGTTCTATTGGACTTAACAAGTCGTGAGAGATTCAAACAGGGATGGGTTTACACAGAGCAATCTTTGGTGCTGGGAGAGGCAGGGTTTCTAGCTGCCCTGCAGAGGCCTCCCAGCAGAAGGGCCAAGAAGGAGCTACTTTTCCCAACCACAGGAAGTCTTCTCCCTTGAGGCTGGAAGCAGGTGTTAGCAGCTGCAGTGGCCGCAAAGGAAAAGATGAAGGAACTGACTTCTTGGCTTCAGCTGGGCTCTCATTCGCCAGTCTCACCAGGAGCCTTAGGAACACACCATGCTGACAAATCCAGGTGAGCCACAGTCCGCGGGCCCGGCAGCTAGCATTCTTTAATAGTATCCCCAAAAGCTGTGGTCTAGTCTTCCACACTTAAGTTCATAATCTACCTGAAGCTGATTGTTATGTGTGCCATGAAATATGGGTCTAATTTAATTTCTTAACATATGGAAACGTGATTGTCCCAGCACTATGAACTGTAAAGGCTGCCCTTTCCCTGCTTTTCTGCACGGACACTCCTGTTGTGAATCCCATGTAGATGTGAATGGGTTCTTTTCAGTGCTATCTGACCCGTTCTGCTGGCCTACCTCTCTCAGTCTGTGCCAAGAGCACAGTGTCATACTCAGAAAAGCTTCATTATATTTTGATATTTGGTACAGTAAGTTAAACCCCAGCTTGTTCTTCAAAAATGCCTTGGGTATTTTTGGCTCTCTGCATTTCCATAAACATTTTGGAATTGGCTATTCAAGTTCCACAAACATCTCATTGAGATTCTGATTGTGCTAAATTTAAAAATTAACTCGAGGAAAAGTAGTATCTTTACAATATTGAGTTTTCCAACCCATGAACATGGGATAGTTCTCTTTTTTTGTGTCTCTAAAAATGTTTATACATTTTACATGTAGTCATCTTGCACAACTTTTGTCAGATTATTAGGTACTTATTTTGTTATGCTATTGTAAATGGGGTATTTTAAAAATTTCATTTTCTAGGAGTGCTTGGGGGGCTTAGTTGGCTAAGCA